TCTGGGCCTTCTACCAGAACGGCTGCGCCCTGCGGCTCCTCAGCCCCCAGACCTTCTCCCCTACTGTCTGGCACTTCCTCGCCATCCTGCAGGAGCACTTTGGCAGCATGGCGGGGGCCAACACATACCTCACGCCACCGGGGACGCAGGGCTTTGCCCCCCACTACGATGACATCGAGGCCTTCGTGCTGCAGCTGGAGGGGAAGAAGCACTGGCGCGTCTACAGCCCCCGGACGGACGCCGAGGTGCTGCCCCAGTTCTCCAGCGCGAACCTCACGCAGGCTGAGCTTGGCGAGCCTGTGCTGGAGACGGTGCTGGAGGCTGGGGACCTGCTGTACTTCCCCCGCGGCTTTATCCACCAGGGCGACTGTCTCCCTGACTCGCACTCACTCCACATCACAGTATCTTCCTACCAGAGGAACTCCTGGGGGGACCTCCTGGAGAAGCTCCTCCCTGCTGCCCTGCAGATGGCCCTGGAGGAGGACGTGGAGTACCGGCAAGGACTTCCCATGGACTACCTGGGGTACATGGGGGTTGCCAACTCGGACTCAGTTGATGCTCGCCGAACAGCCTTTATGGAGAAGGTGCAGAGCCTGATAAAGAAACTCGTTCACTATGCACCCATTGATGCTGCCGTGGATCAGAGAGCCAAGTCATTTCTTCATGATTGTCTTCCCCCGGTGCTTACACAAAGTGAAAAGGCGCAGAGCGTGTATGGCTTCCCAGCCCGGTGGCAAGATGGAGGCCCCCGGGATGTTGATATACTGATAACAAAGGACACAGAAGTACGTCTCCTCCGCCATGGCATCGTAAGATTGTGTAATGAAGAAGCAGGTGTGATGCTGTATTATACGACAGAAAACTCAAGAGTGTATCACAAGGAAGAACCCAAGTTCCTTGAGATAGATCCCGAGTATACAGACAGTATCGAATTTCTCCTGTCTTCCTATCCAAACCATGTCAGTGTGGCTGCCCTTCCCTGTGAAACCTTGGAGGACAAGATTTCTCTAGCCACACTCCTGTTTGAGAAGGGCATTTTGACTACGAAGAAGCCTCTGGTGCAAGCATAACTCTTAATTTTTTTAACAAAATAAACATACATTTGTTTAGAAGCTGTTCTGTCTTTCCTTGCCTTATACCTGCTAGGTGTGAATCAGCAGTCCGGATGACAGTATCTCATCTGGGGGCAGAAGGGCTTTGGCGTGGGTAGAGAAATCACATGTTCTGATTAAAATGGGTATGTGCTCTAGGAGGGATTTTGCATGGCTGAGTGACTAGAGAAGGGAAGTGTTTAATCTTTTTTCCTTCCGCCAGCCATATTACTACACCCTAGGTAACTTCAGGAAGCTAGTGAACTAGCTAGTGAACTTTCTTGCAGTCTGTAAATCATCTGTGTGTTTACACAGTGTTTTAAAGCAGCCTGCCCTACTGCCAGAAGTACTCTCATTACGTTCTGTGTGCCTGTGCTGTGCCGTGCTGCACGTGCAGCGTGGCCTTCAGGCCTGTGCTGTGCTGCAAAGGTCCCTTGGCCCCAGGAAAAACCTCAGCCAACTCTTCCTAAAAGTGGAGCTGGTAGGTAGCTCCCACTCAGTGCCAACGATTACGCCACCTGCGTGCCCCTGCCCTTATCGAACAGTGCAGCAAGATGTCCTCATGCGAATGTGAGCTGCTGCATTTGAAATGCTTCAGGCTCTCTCAGTATGATAATTGTGTGCTGTCTTAGTGATGGAATAACCTCCCCCACTGGTTTTCCTGCAGCAGCCCCTAGCAAGGAAATTATTGGGCCTTTCAAGGCAAAAGGGGCACCCTCTAATATGGGGGTTTTCATGCTGGGTGCAATAAGTTTCATATTGGGACCTAACAAGTTACATGAATACATGCCTGGCCTGGCCCGTAAATACTGACAAGCCTCAGGTACGCTTTTCCACAATGCTGTTTTATCATCGCCCTCAGCAGGTGAGGGATATTCTGTCCTTAAAGCCTGCTGAAGCCATACTCACAAGGAGCAGGCTGCATTACCCTGTGCTCTGACTTGCTGTGTCATCGGGGTTTTGCAAGATGGCACACACACACTCTAATAGTTTAGAATTTAAGTATACACAATCTCCTTCAAAGACCCATACTTGCACCAGCCAGTGTGCCAGCCTTTGTCCTCTCTTTTCCCATCTGCTTTTGCTAAATCTTGAAACTTGGGCTGTGTAAAATCGCACACCGTGACAGCGTGCTGAGGTGCCCCTCTGCTTTGTGAATCACTATTTGCTGGGCAGCAATGCTGTTGCCGCACTCATCCTCTGACCCCTCTCTCTACTCGTCCTCACCAGAGGAGCAGCGGTCCTAGCCCCACCGTTCATCCCCCTGGCAAATAGCTCGTCCCTCAGTGATGCCCTTCCTGGGCTGCTCCATGCGCCCCCCTTGCACCAGAGGCACCAGCGCCGTGGCTGCCTGCACCGTGGGCACTTGTGGCAGAGGTGGCCACACCACAGATGCTTGCACCATGGGCAGCTGTATGGCAGGTGCCTGCCCCGCAGCTTGCAGCTCGGGGGCTGTGGTGCAGAGCTGCACCAGTAGCTCATGCAGGTCTTTCTGCATTGGCTGTAAGCACCCCCATGTCTGTTTCAATCGCATTAGTAACATATGAAGAGGGCACAAACTCTCCTTAGCTCTTCCTTTCCCTCGCCCCTGTTTCCTTAGCATAATATTTCAGCTGGAGTGGGGCATTCTGTTAATCCCTCCTCAGTTTCTAAATCCACTGGGGAAACTGCCTGGGCTGAACACCTTGCAAATATCCCTCACAGATTTGTGAGGGGCCAGCCAGGCACAGAGTTTCTCTTTCCTTCTTTGTTCTTGCTCCAAAAAGGCATTTCTTACTGAGACCTGCTGACTGCACCAAATGCACTAGGAGGTGCTGGTCCATTATTATCCCAGTAAGAAAGGCACTCACATTCTGTAAGGTATCATTAAGCATGCTATTTATTAGAGCTAACACTCTAAGAAGAGAACAGCATAGATAATCTTACATCCCTTTAGATGCTGGGAAGTCTGAGCAGTGTAGCATGTAAAAGGACTCTGACCCACATGCAGCATGCCACGCAGACATGGTCCGTAGCAGAGATTCTCCCCTTTTGGTCTTTCAAGGTATTCTAAGATTTTTATATAAGGAAACAGCTCTATTTAGAATCATACAATCATAGAATGATTTAGGTTGGAAGGGATCTTAAAGATCATCTTAGTTCCACCCCTCCTGCCATGGGCAGGGACATCTCCCACTAGAACACGTTGCTCAAAGCCCCATCCAGCCTGGCCTTGAACACCTCCAGGGATGGGGCCTCCACAATTTCCCCGGGCAACCTGTTCCAGTGCCTTACCATCCTCAGAGTGAAAAATTTCTTCCTGATATCCAATCTAAATCTACCCTCTTCCAGTTTGAAGCCATTCCCCCTTGTCCTATCACTACACATCCTTGTAAAAAGTCCCTCCCCAGCTTTCCTGTAGACCCCCTTCAGATACTGGAAAGCTGCTATAGGGTGTCCCCAGAGCCTTCTCCTCCAGGCTGAACAAGCCCAGCTCTCTCAGCCTGTCTTCATAGGAGAGGTGCTCCAGTCCTCTGATCATCATCATGGCCCTCCTCTGGACCCGCTCCAACAGGTCTGTGTCCGTCTGATGTTGGGGGCCCCAGAGGTGGACGCAGTACTCTAGGTGGGGTCTCACGAGAGTGTGGAGTAGAGGGATCAAATCCCCCCCTTTGACCTGCTGGCCATACTTCTTTTGATGCAGCCCAGGATGCAATTGCTTTTCTGGGCTGTGAGTGCACATTGCTGGCTCGTGTTGAGCTTCTCATCAACCAACACCCCCAAGTCCTTCTCCTCAGCGCTGCTTTCAAGCTATTGTCGCCCCACCTGTATTTGTGTATGGGATTGCACTGACCCACATGCAAGACCTTGCACTTGGCCTTGTTGAACTTCATGAGGTTCACAGAGGCCCACTTCTCAAGCCTGTCAAGATCCCTCTGGATGGCATCCCTTCCCTGCAGCCTGTCGACAGCTCCACACAGCTTGGTGTTGTTGGCAAATTTGCTGAGGGTGCACTCAATTCCAACATCCGCGTTGCCAACAAAGATGTTAAATAGTACTGGTCCCAGTATCGACCCCTGAGGAACACCACTCATCACTGTTCACTGCTTGGACATGGAGCTGTTGACCGCAATTCTTTGAATGCAAACATCCAGCCATTTCCTTATCCACCAAGTGCTCCATCCCTCAAATCCATGTCTCTCTAATTTAGAGACAAGGATGTTGTACGGGACAGTGTCAAATGCTTTGCACAAGTCCAGGTAGATGATGTCAGTTGATCTTCCCTTATCCACCAATGCTGTAACGCCGTCATAGAAGGCCACCAAGTTTGTCAGGCACAATTTGCCTTTAGTGAATCTATGTTGGCTGTCACCAGTGACCTTCTCATTTTCCGTGTGCCTTAGCAGAGATTCCAGGAGGATCTGCTCCATGATCTTGCTAAGCACAAAGGTGAGACTGACTGGCCTGTAGGTCCCCAGGTCTTCCTTTTTTAAAAATGGGTGTTATGTTTCCCCTTTTCCAACCAGTGGGAACTTCACCAGACTTCACAGCCTCTCAAATATGATGGATAGTGGCTTGGCAATTTCATCTGCCAGTTCCCTCAAGACCCACAGATGAATTTCATCAGGTCCCATGGACTTGTGCACCTTCAGGTTCCACAGCTGGTCTCAAACATGGTCTTCTACAGTCGGCAGTTCCTCATTCTCCCAGTCCCTGGCTTTGCCTTCTGCAACTTGGGTGGTGTGGCTAGAGACCTTACCGGTGAAGACCGAAGCAAAAAAGTTATTGAATACCTCAGCCTTTTCCACGTCCCAGGTGACCAGGTCTCCTATTTCCTTCCAGAGATGGCCTGCATTTTCCCTAGTCTTCCTTTTGTCACTGACATACCTATAGAAGGCTGTCTTGTTGCCCTTGATGTCCCTGGTCAGATTTAACTCTATCTGGGCTTTAGCTTTCCTAACCTGTTCCCTGGCTGCTCGGACAATTTCTCTGTATTCCTTCCAGGCTACCTGTCCTTGCTTCCACCCTCTGTAGGCTTCCTTTTTGAGTTTGATTTTGTCCAGGAGCTCCTTGTTCATCCATGCAGGCCGCTTGGTATTTTTGCCTGACTTCCTCTTTGTCGGGATGCATTTACCATGTCTACAGTCAAACAGAAACAATGCACGCATGAGGACATCTCGCTGCACTGTTCGATAAGGGCAGGGGCACGCAGATGGCGTGATTGCTGGCACTGAGTGGGAGCTGCCTGCCAGCTCCACTGTTAGGAAGAGTTGGTTGAGTTTTTTCCTGGGGCCAAGGGATCTTTGCAGTACAGCACAGGCCTGAAGGCCACGCTGCGCGTGCAGTGCAGCAGAGCACAGGCCTGGGCATGCTCGGGTGAAGTCTGTTGTGGGTCAGTAACTGCTCGATGTACAATGGTCTTCCCCTCAGGATCACCACGCTGACTTCTACTGAGAAAAATGGTGAGATGCCTAAATGCACTGGAGGATTTCAGACCTACTGACAAACTGATCTCTTGGTTTCGGAATAAGAAAGCAATTTATCTGCTTGATGCTTTGTTTGCTATATAAAAATAGGAATGCATTTTCTTTGCATGTTTGAATTCATAAAAATAATAATGGAATATGGAATGCATAATAATGCTACAAATACACTTGCAATAGCAATACTTCATCCTTCTCTAATGTCCTCCAGCACATTCTCTAATGTCCTCCGTATTTCTTAAGTATCAATACTTTTCAATTTGCAGCCTAAGGCGAGGTAAAAAACTATGATTACCCTTATTTTACAGACAATGGCTAGCAAGGAAAAGTCTATGTAGCTTTGTCAAGAGCACATGGCATCTTTTGCAAAGTTTAGAAAAGAAAGCCATTTACATTAAGTTAACACAGACATTGCTTTCACGGTCTCTCACTTTCTAGTATGTATGCAATCAATCGAGTATGAAAAGATGGGTCAAAATTAAGCTTACCCAATTCCCTTGATTTCTGCAGTATTTTAAATTACAGTGTTTATTTGGAGCATATATACTCTTTGGCTTTTTACAATACTGGATCCAAAGATACTCTTCTTGGGGACTGATGATTTTATAGTGCAATCATGCTGATAAAAAGAAAACAGTCAATTGCTTGATTTCATAACGTTCATAACAATTTCATAGCAGTTAGAATTTCCCATACCCACACACAGATCAACAGCCTCCAAGCAGGGGCTGCTCCATTGAGGAGAAGGAGGGAGGGTTGGTGACCAGCCCGTATTGCTCCACTGCGGCAGATGGACAAGCTACAATAGCTCTGAGCCTACTGATAACGTGTACACTTGTGAGAGCCCTCATTAAACCTTCTGATGTCACACCTTATCACTGGGGGTCTAGCATTGGAGAGGAAAACATGTTCAGACAACTAGCATTGTGATCTTCTCTATACTTCTTACATATGGAAGATCTCCCTGGGATATATTCACCAGGAAAATGGAGGAGACTTTCATCAATCCCTAGATGCCCTTTGTTTTCTGTTTTCCTACGCTAGAGATGGTATCTCCATGCGACCTAAAGCAGTTCAGTCAGAAATGGGCTTCCAATATGACCTCATGGGGGTGAAGACGTTTGCAGGTGAGTGGAACTGTGAAGCTGTTGTGCCCACAGCAGGAAACACACCTTGCAAATTCACCTGGAATTCCAGCTGAAAACTTCTCATCCAAAGGCTGGCTAAAACTATTCTCACGCCTTACTGACAATATTGCCCCACCAGGAGGAAATGGGAAAAGCGCAAGAATACACTTGCATTACAACCTATCTATGAGTGAGACAGCTCTGCTCCTCTAAGCCATCGTACATTATCTTCCACAGGGCACTTCCTCTGGGCAGTTTTCCTCTCATCACATCTTGGACCTCATCCCTTGTGATAACCCCACAGAGCAATCTGCTCAATAGCCTGAGGATGGCTGCCAGAAGGAAAGGGATGGCTGAATACATTTGAATCAGTCCTTGATCGAACAGTCCGTCTGTAAGAAACCTGGGTGTACCCTTAGTACTCTGACTGCTAAGTACTAGTAGGTAGATCTCCTAGTGTCTGGGTTCATCCTATTCACCACACATAGGTGATCTCCGGTATGTTTTTTTAAACATCCAAAATTTTGTTGCCAATTCCCCACATGTATGAGTTCAGGGAAAGGGGTGACCTTTTCCAAAGGAAACGTGCAGCTTCACCGAGTTTTGGAGAGAAGCCATGGTATGGGGCTGCAGCTGCTGCTTTGTGTTTGGATTGCAAAATTTATATGAGATCAGAACTGCTAAAAGAGAATTAGCAGAAAATGAAACTCCCAGGCCCTTCCCTACCTGGGATATTTTGTAATCCATGCTCCCTACCAGCACAGCCAAAACCTGTGGGCCTGCCCTGGCGTGGGTGGCCTACTCTGCCTGGGCGTGGGCAAGAAGAGCAGATAGCAGAGCCAGGGGGAGGGATGGACAAAAGCCTTGGGGCAGCCTGTGGCCACACCAGGTGTCGTCATTTGGCGAGAAGTGCAAGACTGCAAAGTCGCAGGAGATGCCAGGAGAGCGGCGCCAGGCTCGTGGGGCTATTTCTCCCCTATGATGCTCCCAGACCACAGCTCCATGTGCCCACCCCAGCGCAGGGTGGCACTATCCCCCCTTGGGATGCCCCCACTGCATGAGGTGGGCTCTCATCCATATGAGCTTCTGCAGAACATCTTCCCACACAAGGAAGATGGGACCTGAGCCCCATATGTGCTCCCTCACTGGGCTTCTGGGGCAGGGGGTCCTGAAGGAGCAGGGGCAAAGGGGAGTAGAGAGGAGCTCTATGCCAGACCTTGCCATGCTGCCCCATGCCTGTCCCCATGCATGCAGCTGGCCCCACGTGGAGCAGGTTGCATATCCCCAGGCTGGGGACAAGTGGGAACTTCCCTCTCTTCCAGGACAGCACTGGCTCCATGATGGTGATGCCCTGCTGCATGTGGGATCATGTTCCCTGGGTGAGCTGCCAGGGCTGTCCAGGGCGACCAGTCCACCCCAAAGTGCTCCCAGACCATGGGGACAATTGCCCCCAGATCTGCATGCGGCAAAGGGGAAACCCTTTCCAAAGGGAGCTTGCAGCCTGAAAGAGGGAAGGGAGCCTATGAGAGAAGCCCAGGTGCGGGGAGGAGGGCCTCAGCTGCGCTTTCCGCTGGGTCCATTCCTGCAAGGGTAGTAACCAGCAGCCATGGCAGCATGTTGCTCCCGAGATCCTGCCCTGTGTTTGCACTTGCCATTTGGAAATTGCCCCCGTGGCAGCTGGCCTGACATGGTGGGCAGGTACAGGCTGTGCAGCTGTGGGACACCAGAGCCTGGGCAGAGTTGCTGCCTTTAGAGATGCTCCTGTGGTGCCAGGGGACCGCCTGTGCTGAGCCTGCCCTGCCGCAGGCACTGCCAGGGCTGCAGCGAGGGCTCCAGGCAGCCTCCATGTCTCCCAGCACAGCTGGTGCCCCTCGGTTGCAGTCTCCCTGCCTGTGTGTGCAAGGGTATGGGGAAGGACCAGCTGCTTTAAGGAGGACTTCCCACTGCAGAGCCCTAAGACCCACCAAGTAGCCAGAGCCTGTCTGCCCCATCAGGCAATGGGGTAGATATGAGGTGCTGTTGCCCCATCTGCACCTGGCATAAGCCCTCTGCCATCCTCAGGTGGACCTAGGGAAGTGTCTCATCCTCCAGAGGCGACACCATGGCTAATGGAGGGAAATGATCTGCACACTGTAAGGCAAGGCAAGGCAAAGCTTGCTTGGGTATATCCCTGGCATATATCCAGGGGATGCCTGCTACAGGCGCTTGTTCCTCCAGAAGCACTTGTGCCTGAAGTGCTGGAGTGGAGCAATGCAGGACTGCAAGGCCAGGAATGTCTGTGGAGGTGGCTGAGAGGCTGTGGGTCCCTCTCTTTCCCTTTAAAGCCAGGAGAAGTCTAGATAACAGTCTGGACAGAAGAGTAACTCTTAGAAGCTGAGGTTAGGTCTGGTGAGTCCCAGCTTGGTGATGACCCATCTGTATTTGCTATGCTGTGAGTGCACTGGGGACCATTTTCTCTGGGATGGTGTGGTCTGAACAGTAATGGAGTCTGATAACATGTTATAGAATAAAGCTTTGTAGAGGTAGTAGGAAAGATAAGCAACTATGTGTCCATATGACAACTCACCCAATCACTGATAGCAAACACAGGATCGTAAGTGATGTCATGGCTCCATTGGACTATCAGGGACATTTGGTGTCCGGGTCATCTGGCAGCAAGACCCAATAATGCAAATACGTTTTGAGTGCAGGTAAGAGTTGTGCCACCCCTTGGCTCCAGCAATGGCAGTCTAATTTGAGAGAATCATTCCTTACACGTGGACAGCACCCTGCCTACGCTGCCAGTGTTGGTCAGGAGGCAGGGTGTCAGGTGGGACATGGGAGGGGGGACATGCCTGGAGCTAATGCAGCAGAAGTCCTGGTGGCTGCCATCACCCCTATGTACTCTGTGCAATCTCTCAGTGTACCTGAATGTCCCCACCAGTTACCTTCAGCTGCAGTCCAGCTAAGAAGTTGTGTTGGCGTTTGCCTCAAGTGGCATTCAGTTCAGCATTAGTTGACTGACTGAGTCTTGAACGTATCCTTTGAAGTACTGGGGAGACCTCTCTTCCTGACAGGCACTCCCTCTTCATCAGTGGGCAGGCGGATCATTTCTGCAAAGGCAAGAATTTTGTTAGTCAAACTGGAAAAACATTTGCAATCTCAAAGAAAGTAAATGCTAGGCATATTCTCCTCCTCTTCCCACCCATCACCATGAGCAAGGAGTCCATTTTGAACCAGAAGGTCATCTAAGATGGGGGACAAGGCAGCATGAGGCTCATTCAGAGGACCAGGATGATGCTTGGCAAGAGATCTAGGCTTTATTCTACCCCACCAACAAGCACACTGAGGTCTGAAGGACCTGAGTTGACAGATGTTTTTTTGCTTATTGAATTAATATTGCTCACACCTGCACTGGTATAACCCCAACAACATGGCCTGATACGCCTACAGCTGTGAGCAGAATTGGGTTCACATTTTCTGTAATTTCCCTGATCTTTTTTGATTGGGAATTGAGAAAAGGGATAGCATTTGAATTGATCTTAATTGAACAGATCATATGCAATATGCTCATTTATCACACTGGTGGCCTGTGAACTTTAAATAAATTTCTGTACTCTCCATATAACTGTGGTCTCCCCATCTTCAGCCTGTACTTTAAAGCAACCTCCACCATATGCACCTTTTGGTGCTGAGATTTCACCACATTTACAGTGAACATCTCATCACAAATGGAAACATCTCTGATCGCTGAATGGCAGAAACTATACAATATAGGGTCTTAGAAAAAGTATTGGTGATGGTGTCTCTGGTTAAGAGCTTTCAGGCTGCTGTGAAAGAGACATTCTCTCTGGAACAGCTGTGGCTGCTGTGCTCTGGGTTAACATCCATCCTCTGGAAGGATATGCTCTGGCTGGTAACTTCCAGTTCTGGCCCCAATAAGGCATAGTCATCCGAGAAGCTGTTCTGCAATCTCCTCTTAAAGGATGTACACCCACTGCTTTGTGTTTGGATTGCAAAATTTATATAAGAGATGAGAACCAATAAAAGAGAATTAGTAGCAAATGAAACTCCCAGGCCCTTCCCTACCTGGGATATTTTGTAATCCATGCTCCCGACCAGCAGAGCCAAAACCTGTGGGCCTGCCCTAGTGCGGGTAAGGCACTCTGTCTGGGTGTGAGCATGAAGAGGAGATGGCAGAGCTGGAGGGAGGGAGCAGGCTGCCTGCTGCAGGCACTGCTAGGACTGTCTTGACATCTCCCAACACATCATCTGCCACTACTTATGACCTGTCCAGAATTGGGTTTTCATACCTATAAACAAGAGAAAAAAAAAGAGCTTACTTCTTCTCTGCATGCTTAGTGTCTTCAGCTCATATTTTAAAACACCCCCTCAGAAATGCATGTTTCAGTGTAGGTATTTCACCAGGTTTACCCTGAATGCCTCAACGTAAATGGAATAGTCTCAAAACTCACAGAGCTGCAGAAAGGATATGATATGGGATATTATAACTGGAATGCCAGGGTCTCTGGCTGAGAGCTCGCAGGCTGCTGGGAACCAGCTTTTCTTGCTGGATGAGGTATTTGTCTTCTGTGCCTTTGGTTCATGTCCCCTTCAGAAGTATGTGCTCTGACTGGGGGCTTCTTTTTAATCAAGATGCCTCAGTCACCCTACAAGGTCTTCTGCTTGATTTATAGTCATTACAATCTTCTTTCAGAAGAATGCAGTATCCTTTTAACTTTGGAATTATGGGGAGAAAATGGGGTCAGAATTCCTTGAAGTAATTAGCTGAGTTTTCATTGGGAGCAGGGTATTTTTCTTTGGACAACATGAGGTGAAATTGCTATATGAGGGAGGATGCATGCTGGACTCCACATACAAATCCCAGGTAAGAAAGCAGATGACATTTTCAGAAGGAAAGAAAAAGCAATCTTCATGGACAAGGAAAATCTGCTGAGAGTCTGCCCAATGCCTCTGACTACCCAATACTACAAAATAGTACCATGCTGAGAGTTCTTCACATACCTCCAAGCACTGCAGAAACAGAAACGTAGCTACAGGGGGCACACCCACTAATTTTTCCAAGAGGAGCTGTGCAGAGCAGGAGAGCTGTGAGATAGCAGGTCTTTATTTGCTGTCATAATCAGCCCCTTTGGGAACTTTTTTTTTCAGCATCTTTTTGAAGTATACAAGGACCCTTGGCTTCACAACAGCCACACAGGGCAGGGAGAGAAGGGAGGGGAGCTGGCAGTGCCACCCATGCTGGCGCAGGAGGAGGAGGCAGCTCTCCATGACTGGCTGCCCAGGCACAGAAGCCAGGACATCCAGCCTAAATACAGCCATGATGCAGATGAGTGGATCAGAGGAGCAGCTGAAGATTGGTCCTAGCGTTCTTGGCCAAGCACGGTTGTGTCCACAGCAGGTGAGGTTTCTCTTGTCCACATCACTCATCCCCTATGACCACCACCATCTGCCTCTCACCCACTGCCCACAGCCTCTTTGATGAGCTGATGGCAATCGCCATGCAGGACCTTGGCCCATGGCAGCAGATCACATTGCGGACGTCCTTGCAGGATGAGATAGGGGACCTCTTCCAGGCCTGCGCGGGTGCGTGCGCTACCAGGCAAGGCACAATGGGGAGCTGGACCTTGCCCGCTGTCCTGCACTGCTGGGAGGCAGCTTCTCTGGCCCGGAGCCCATGGGGCTGCTCTGGGCTTTGCAGCCTCACCCTCACATTCTGGCTGTTATGTCTGCTAACTGATGGATGTTCATCCTTTCTCTCATTTTAGCAGTAGAAATGGTGATCTGGGCATGCATAGTTTATTCATAAACTGTTTCAAGGCTCCTTTAAGTTGCCTAAGAGTAGAGTGAAACTTAAAGCAAATCCCAAGCATCTGACGAACTTTTTAGAGGTGACAGCTTACCTTTCCCTGTGGCTCCTCTTCTCCCTTCCAAGGCACATTACAAGGGCTCCTTCAGACTTTAGTTCTGCTGGGAACTAAAATGGGCCAAGGGGTGGTCAAGGGCTGGTCAGGGAGTGGGAAGGGGAAACTGAGGAAAGTCACCACACAGTTCATCTCCACCAGTGGACCTTATGCAAGACGCTAAAATAATTCCCTATTAGTAGCATTAAGCTATATTTGCGTCTTAAGTAGGTGGTATCTGTCTTTCTGCCACTCAGTATCTTGCCAGTTAATTTACAGTCATTTAGCAGCTTGCAGCTAAATGACTGGTCATGTTCTTTCCCCAAAAGATGCTTCTTTGCAGGTTCCTGATGGGTGCCTCATTTGATGCGTTCTAAAGCAGAGAAACATTCAAAGGAGTCATTTCGGGCAATACAGCTCTTTGTCTTGTCTCCTCCAGGAGAAGACCCCTTCCCAGGCATCATCGACATACACGGACTCGGGGGAGGTCTTTTTGAGCACAGGGCCAGCCTGCTGGCCAACCATGGCTTTGCCACACTGGCCCTGGCTTATTATCAGTATGAGGATCTGCCCCAGGAGCCAACTGAACTCCACCTGGAATATTTTGAAGAGGCAGTGAACTATATGCTCCAGCACCCACAGGTAGGAGCACCTTCCACATCCCCTGGGCTTCAGGGAGCACTTCTCCGAAGGGCCTGTCCCTTTGCTTGAGGTTTCTCTGGAGGAAGCTGCTGAAATGCTCACCTGGCTCCATCTGCCAGGACTCTGGGTGCCTGGGCTGTAGGAAAGAGGAAGGGTCAAACAGATATGCACTGGAAGGGCAGAGGATGGGTACCATTCAGGTACTGTCATCTGGCATGACAGAGATGGTGTCTGAGACATAATAAGCAAGGAGGTTGTGGAGGAGAGAGACATGCATTTTTCAAAGCAGCCTTCATGAATTGTCACCACATGCCCCCATAGGAACCCTTAGTCTAAACAATAAAAAAAAGCATTTGCCAGTACCTACCTGTGGTGAGTTCACCTTGGCTGGCTGTCAGATACCCATCAAGCTGCTATCTCACTCCCATTCTTCAACAGGACAGGTGGAGAAACTAAGATGAAAAATCTCATGGGTCAAGATAAGGACAGGGAGACAACTCACCAATGATCATCACAGGCAAAACAGACTTGACTTAGGGAAGATTAATTTCATTTATTGCCAGTTAATAACAGAGTAGCATAGTGAGAAATAAGGACAAAAGTAAAACCACCACCCACCCACCCCCCATCTTTAGGCAGCAGTAGGTCCATTTCAGAGCTGGCTGAAACTGTCTCTAACTGACATGGGGGCATCCCCTGGTCTTTTCACCCAGAGCCCATCCCTATAGCTCCCCACTGCCAAAACCTTTCCACACTGGCTCTGAATAGTCTTAATTTTCTCATGCAATGTGTGCTCAAATGGTATCATTGTGCTTGCTCTCTCTTGGCTGTCATCATAGCACCGAGGAATATTTTTCATGGGAGTGGAAGAAATTTGTGTGTAGGAGGTGTTTGGCACTTGTGCAGAAGAAAAGCTAGTCATTGCCATCACCTCCTTCACAGTGTTTTGCAAACTTGCAGCATTAAACAATGTTCCCCACCAGCAACTAGCTGCTGTGTTTTTCAGCTCAGTACTGATGGGCATTTCCTCCTCTCTACCAGGTGAAGGGACCAGGGGTTGGACTGCTCGGTTACTCCAAAGGAGCTGATCTCTCTCTTGCCATGGCCGCCTTCCTGAAGAACATCACAGCCGTTGCTTCCCTCAATGGCCCTGTGGCCATTACTTCTACTCCTCTCCGTTACAAGGATAAAGTTATCCCCTCTTTGCCTATTGATGAAGAATGGGTCAAGATCATTGACTCCAATATTCTTGATTTTTCTGACATCCCTTTGGACCCCTTTCAAGCCCTACTGTTCATCACGGGACAAGACGACCGGGTTGTCAAAAGTGAGTATTTTGCTACTGAAGTCTGCAAGCTTTTGTAGGCTCAAGGGAAGGAGAACTTTCAGATGCTCTACCTACCCGGGAACAGGTCACTGCAACGACCCTCCCTATTTTCCTTTGTACCCCATAGGAAACCATCCCATTTTTCACAAGCGGGCAGTCCTGGGTGGGTAGGTCCCCCTCCTGCCTGTCAGGGGCCATCATCCCTGTGCATCCTGAAGGGCTGCCACCTCCCTCGTGGATCCCATCTCCTACCACCCTGCTCAACCAGCCATCCAGGATGTCTCCAGGCTCTGGGTGTCCTCCCGGCCAGCCTGGCACACCGGGGCAGACCTCAGAGCTGGCAGCTGCCTCTCAGCCCCGTCCTGTTTTCTGCTCCTGAGCATCCTCATTCAGGGCACTGCAGCCTTTCCCTGCCTCGCAGGTTTCATAATGGATGTGATCAGCAGTGCTGGATGACACCTGTGGGCCTGTTCGGGCACAGGGACGGCACTCTCTCTGGGTGTGGGCAAGAAGAGAAGGTGGCAGAACCAGAGGGAGGGAGGAAGGGACAGGAGCCTTGGAGCAGCCTGTGGCCACACCAGCTGCCATCCTCTGGCAAGATGTGCAAGACTGCACGTCCCAGGAGATGCCAGGAGAGCAGCTCCAGGCTTGTGGGGCTGTCTCATCCCTGAGATGCTCCCAGACCATGGCCCCATGCGCCCTCACTAGCAACACAGGGCCACACCAGCCCCTCTTGGGATGCCCCTGCTGAGCAAGGTGGGCTCCCGTCCCATATGAGCTCCTGCAGAACATCTTCCCCCAGGGGTTAGGTGGAACCTGAGCCCTGAACATGCCACATTTCTCTGACTGGAGCCCCACACCAGCAGCTGAGCACAGAGTCCCCCTAGGACTCCTTCTGGCAGTTCCTGCTGCTGCAGGACACCTCACTCCGCATACCTTGGCATGGGTCAGGAGCTGGAGCAGAGGGGAGTGGAGGGGTGCTCTGTGCTAGACCCTGCCGTGCAGCCCCACCACTGTCCCCATGCCTGCAGCTGGTCACACATGACAATGCCCTCTTGGGTTCAGGGCAATGTCGCAGGGGTGGCCTTTCTGGGGGCAGCAGTGCACGGGGGTGGCAGGAGCAAGCTGCCAAAATGCTCCCAGGCTGTGGTGCCAATTGCCTGCAGGTCTGCATGCAACAAAGCAGTAAACTTTTCCAAAGGGAGCCTGCGGCTTGGCCAAGCTCAGCAGAGGAAAGACGAAGCCTGTGAGATAAGCCCAGGGAGGAGGGCTGCAGCCGCGCCTTCGCCTGGATCCCGTCCTGCAGGGATGGTAACCAGCAGCCCTGGCTGAGAGAACTGCCACCACAGCAGATAAGCACACTGTTTGTCAACGAGTGTCTGGGAAGAGCTGCTGCCCTTTGGAGAGGCTCCCGCAATACCAGGGAACTGGCTGGGCCCATCCCGCCCTTCCCATGTGTGCTGACAGGCCTGCAGTGGCAACTCCAGGCACCCAAGGACATCACACAGCACAGTGTGTGCCCACACAGTTCCTGCCCCGATTCCCCTCCCCTTGCTGGGGTGTAGGAAGCTGCATTTGTAGGAGCCTCAGCCTGAATGCAGACACAGTGAAGGCAGCACCCCAGGAGCCATGTGGCAGGTCACAGCCCGCTCCCTGTGCCGGGCGAGCTCCCGCGGCTGGCAGAAGC